GTTTTTGCAAAAACAGGCCGTTTTGGGGAGGTTTGCAGAATGCAAAAACTTTTAAAATTTTCCTCTTCAAAACCTTGTTGCGTCTTATACTCAGGTGCATCTTATACTCTGAAAAATACAGTAGTTTATAGATTCTTTATATGTCTATATGTGTTTTCAATCAAGAGAACTAGAACATGTTAATCTGAATTATCCTAAAACAAAATTACAAATGGAATATGCCTGTAAGATTATTCTCTTATAATCTCTTAGATGCCTCTGTGCATTTGTGGAAGTATATTCAAAAGAATATTTGTCTTCATTTACTTTAAAACAGTACTGCAGGGGGGAAAATTATTGCAAGGAAAACCACATTAACAACATTAGACTCGTGAGAATAACATGAATAAAAGTTCATTAATCTGTGTTCAATTTAGTTAAAAGTGAGACAATAATTGTATATAAAAATTTAATCAATTGCGTAAATAATTTTAAACCACCAGTTTCTCCATGAACATATCATTGTTGCTTATTATAAAGCATTATGTTCTGAGAATTTAGTATATTTTGCTGCTTATTATCAGATAGAAATAAATACTGTTAAATATGAAAATTGAATATTTATGGCTTGGTGGACTACCCAGTTATGGCAGTAATCCAACATTCTTGCAAAATGACAACTTTATTGTTTCCACAGTGTTTATACAATTGGTACTATGGCTTATAGATGAGAGACTCGGGGAATTTTTAAGTTTGCAGATGTACAAAAAAACTGGCTACTGACAATATGATGTAATGGTTAAAATATTGGGTTACTACTCTTATAAGCCATGGAAGCTCACTGAATTATTTTGGTCAGACATTATCTCTTATCCCAGTATACCTTAGAGCTTTGGTACGAAAAAAAAGTTGGTAGAAGGAGTGGAGTGCAATTCATACCATAATGAGACCCTGAAAGAAAGATAGAATATAATTCTAATAAATAAATGAGAAGTGAGCATGCTTGGTGACCACTAAATGTGGATGAGAAGAGAATGGAATAATTAAGATGGGAAAGGAATTATTTTAGGCAAATTCCTGAAGCTTCCTGGTGATATTATACACTACCAGTTCCAGAACATACTACAGACAGAAACTAAGAATATAAAAGCCTCAAATACCTTAAAATCACTCAGGATTTATTAGGCATGGTCAACGGGAAGAGGATTGTTGTTTGGGTCACTACTTTCCAGGCATTTCTCACAGAAAGCTCCCTAAGCAGATCTACTACAAAGGTCAATCTGTTATAACTGAGGAACGTTCTCATAAATCAGCACTGATATCATCTTGGAAGCAAACAGATAGCTATACTGTCTCTAATGACTTTGTATGATAACCAGTTACTCTAAGTGTAACCAAGAGGTTGAATTCTGCACTTACTAAAGTCTCCCAACAGGTTTCAAAGGCAACCCCATAAAAACTGAATTACATTAGTTCAAACATGAGATTATTAAGACAAGGATCACTTGATCCTTGTGACAGTTACAAAATGCGGTTCACCGACAAAAGGGCGACCGACAAAAGCACGACCGACTAAACCGCGGTGACAAAACCGCAAGTTCTAAGGTGCTCCGACGAATGAGCGCTGAATCGCTCTGACAACAGCGCGGCGACAGAAGCACGCTGTAAACCTAATCCTAACTCTAAACCTAACCCTAAACGTAACGCTAACCCTAAACCTAACCCTAATCCTAACCCTAACCCTAACCCTAACCCTTACCTTAACTTAAATCGCCCTTCTGTCGACGCGCTGTTGTAAATCGCCCTTCTGTCACCGCGCTGTAGTCGGCGCGTTGATGACGTCGCAGTTTTAGCGATGCGGTTTTGTTGGCGCACTTTTGTTGGGTCACGCAAAACGCATTGCTTGGAGTTATTCCTTAATTCATCTGCTGCTTTGAAAGAGCTCAGAATTATCTAGAACTACCTGTCTTCCTAATTAATAGGCTGGAACTCCCTCTCAACAACATTTCAGTCTTGTTGGGATTCAGACACAGTTTATTGGTTCCCATCCAGCCACCTACTCTCCTAGAACATATCCTGCACAGCCTCTTATGCCTATTGATGATACCTTGGTTAAATCTCAGAATGATTTTTCCCAATCGCTTTATATAGGTATTAAGGATATTAAAGGAGACAACATGGAATCTTATACCAGGCATAGGGTTAGAATACTATGTGGCAAGAATATTTTCTCCAGGTAATTTGTTGAACTTTCCCTTTAAAAATTAGCTACCGTAATTTACTTAATTGAGCATTTGTCTGTCTTTTGCTGTGTTATTCTGACAATGTGAAAGCACACACAATGTAGTTTACTTCTCATCTATCTTAATGCTAAGACTTGCCAAGTTATTAGTCACAGAGTATTTCATCTTGCCTTATTCTTTTTTCTAGGGGGAACCGGACTTCTGTGGCGGGCACCAATAAGAATCAAGTGTTAATGAAGGAACTACAGGATCTTCAAGCAGCAGAACAGCATCTGGACAGCCTCATCCAGATGTGTACTACTCAATTCAAGATCCTTACTGAGGAACCTGAAAACAAGCAATATCCTTCTTTTCAAGATGAATGGGGATTGGATGGTTTTATCCACTCATAGAGCACAAAACAGGTTCATAGGAGCAAATTTTCTGCAGTAACCAGTAGCAGTAAAGTGCCATATTCCAAAGAGGCAGCTGCACTCCCAACATTCCTGGATTGGGTGTTGGTACTTTAATTTGTACTTCCACACCCTGTGACTTAATGGAAAATCCCTACCTGGCTGTTGGCTAAGGCTCTGAATTGTCAGTGAGGTGTGGAGGTATACATGTGTGTATATATCTCAGAAAGAAAGGGAAAGAAGGGTGGTGGTGGTGGTGGTGCATCTGTCAGATGTTTCTTGTTGATTTTTGCCTGGCAGCTCTGTAGTTGAACCTGTTCCTGATAATGAAATCTGCAATCCACCCTTTCTGGTAAATGAACAGTTTTAACATATGCATATGAGAGAAAACTTCAGCTATCCTTTCTTCTCTTCCCCGCCCCCCATTTTTCCCCTTACAATAACGTTCCAATAAAATAGGTTTGCAAGTTCCATGTCACAGGTAAAATATATTTGGTAAGGCCTTAAGTGTGCTGAATAAAATTGGTTAGATTAATCTCTTTATCATCTCACTTCACAGGATTAAACTAATGAGTGTGCTCATAATTTTGAATAATTGAAATTAATTTTCTGACACTCTACAAACTTGTGGAGAATTTCACAGATCTCAGAAATTGCAAGTCAGAAGACTGAGAGTTAACAAGCACTGTTTTCCAACTAAAACTGTGTCTCCTGAACAGATTATTTATTACACAGAAATTGTAGAGGGAGGGAAATAATTAAAATTTGAAATAGACTGGCATCGAAATATTAAAAAGAAAGAAATAGAAACAGGCATACAGACTTGGTTATTTTGAATAAGATTAAATCTTCGTGGCCAGATTAATTGCATCCTGAAATTAAGGAAGTAGCTAGTCTAAAGCTATTGTAACCCTGAGTGGTTGTTAAATGACTGTTCATTAATCAAGGACTTCTTGTATGCCTCTTTCCTAATAAGTAGTGATTTGAGCCTAACAGTTGTATATTGCTGTTCTAGTTTTGTATCTTGACACATATCTTGTGATATTTCTGACAAAACTTGACTGACCATACTTCAGCTTATGTGACTTGCCAAGATCTACGCAACATTGCAGACCCCTCAGAGCAACTGGTGATGGTCATCAAAGCCCCCCCTGAGACACAGATGCAAGTCTCTGATCCTGCAGAGGTAACCTTCCTGCTTCCAAGAATTACAGAGGCCATTTGGGGCCTCTCATGGAATCCTTACACACTTAAAACTTTCAGAATCCTAATCCTCTTTACTATGTTTATCCTTTCCATTCCTCATTAGGTAGGAAAGGTTTCTGTAAGTCCGTTTAAGTGTAGCATATCTTGAAACAGTATGGTGACTGAGAAATATAGCCACCAGTATGATAGATCCAGGGAAGCTTGGTTTTTAAAGATTCTGTATGCTGATCCATCCATCCATCCATCCATCCATCCATCCATCCATCCATCCATCCATCCATCTAATTTCTATAGCTGCTTAGCTCAACCAAATGACACTCTGACATATCGAGCCCAGTCTCTTAGAATACAGTTTAGCTGTATGTCATTGAGCTACATACACTGTGCAATATTTTACAATAATCAACTGGCACAAATTGTTATATCCTAGATTAGTTAAACAATCAACAAGAATGAAATCCTATCCACTTATTGTGCTGCCCTGTAAGAAAATGTCCTTTTGTAGGATAAGCCACCTGAACCAATGTTATGTGAACCAAGTATAACTGGTGAGCTAAGGGTCTGAGACATTTGTTGACATGGTGAGGAAAGTTTGGGGCATATGAAATAGAAGTTATACGTGTTCGGTTAGTCTAATAGAATAAGTTACTGTCTATTTGGAGCCAATTATGATGCACAGAATAAAGGCTTTTGCAGCCCTTGGTTACCTAAGCAGTTAACATCTAGGTAGATGCAATGCCTTGTTAGCTCATGAATAGCATTGTTAAAGTGATATATAACAAAATAGAATGCTTCAAGTAGAACTTCTTTCTCATTTTACTATTTTGATTTAATACATTTCTACAAAGTATTAAAACTATGAGCAGAGATCATTACAAAATAGAATGTTTTTCACTCAGATATTGAGATGTACCGGGCATCTCAAAATTTCCTTGCAGAATTGAGGAACTCTATTGTTATGAGCAATAATTGTCCCAGGCAGTGAAACAAGCCAAAAGAGTTAGATTTTTTTGTCCTCTAGTCACAAAGAGATAAAATTCTGAAGATTTTATAAAATTGGATGTTCCCAAAATATTCTTCATAGAAAAGATCTGCAGAGGCTTACCACTACCACCCTCACAACAAAAGTGTATGCAGTCTTCTCCAAAGTTGGTGGAGACAGTGGTCATGCATGGGTTAACTCAGTCAGTAACCTATTGTAGCTCAGCAGGATCCGTTTGAGCTACTGATGGACTCGGATAGCGAGGAAACCTATGAGTCTGCTATGGAAGATGTGGAGGACCCTGGGCAGGGTTCAGACTCAGAGCAGGGACCAGAGAGGCTGGTTGGCCACCAGGAGGCGCCTGAGGCATGGAACAGTGGGGAAGATCAAAGGGAGTTTGTCCCTGACACCAGGCAACGGAGGGCAGAGAAATGAAGGCAGCAGTTACGGAGGCAGACTCATAAGAGATAATCAGGCCCAGGTGGTTGTGGCTTGGCCTCTTCTAAGAGAGTATATCAGAAGAGACTTTGGGAGGAGTCCTTTTGCAGGACACAACCATTCATACTAATCTGGAGAGCTC